TGTAATATAGTGGTGTCATTAAAGACTATCTGCATAAACTACATTTTACTTGGCTTGATGAGCATCACATGAATCTTCTAAGGCTGAGCAAGCAAAACATCTTGCCTCAAGATGTCACAAGTGATACAGGTATCTGGCCTCTGGTTCTAATTTGCCTGGGCAGGAACACTGAGAAAGACCAGAACCCTTTTGCTGTTCCTACTTCTTGCCCTACGCTGTCAGCAAGTCTCCTAACATGGCTAGACCTTGAGTAGAGGGTGACAAGGAACAGAACATTTGCAAAACAGATCCTGATTTTCTTCTACATAAATTCATCTGAAGTTAAGTGTAGCTCAAACCTGGGAATGCCAGGCTGTCCAATGATGCAGAGTTGGAATTACCTTGGATATTTTATGGTATGTGGTCTGCAGTTCTTGGACCCCTCAGTAAGCATGATGCTAGAGCAGAAATTAACAGTAACAATGACATCAAAATGTATCTTGACAGGGTCAAATCAGCTTTGGGTCCTTCAGCTGGAAGCAGACAGCAATCCAGCACTCCGCTGTCAAATCGGGCTCAGAACCACCCCATATAAGCCTCCATGGATGTCCAGCCTTTGGTATTGATTCAACCATTCTCCACTCTGCTGGTACAGACAGATCATTTTCTAGAAGTTGCCAGCATCCTGCAGGACTAGTTCTGTAGAAAATATTCCTGTGCTCAGTTAGAACCAAGAGAGGACTGAAAGGTTCTTCTGTGAGGTTCTCCTTAGCAGGACATTCAATGCTAGGTAGAGAGGTCAGGTCTGGTTCACCCTAGGGTAGCTTACAGAGATGGGAACCTCCTGCATTTTTCAGCATCTCTATTTTCTCATTAATGTTTCTTAAATGCCAAGGGTCCTCGAGGGGTCAACCAGACCTTCAACTTCAGCCTTCAAAGAAAGCCTGTTGTTGCTGTGTCACCAGCTGTTGGAGCAGCGTCCACTGTTTCATTCTCTGTTTCTCACTACAAGGCAGCTCCTGACTTGTTACCTGCATCCAATGATTACAAAGCCTTCAAAGATCCAGTTGGCAGGACAGCTTTACCAAATACCAAAACCGTTACTAAATGCCATCAGACTTAGAACGTTGCCTCAGGACAGCCTTCTCTGGATGGAAAGCTGCCTCAAATAACAGCAAAAATTGACCCTTAGAGCAAAAAGAAGGCCAAGTTCTATCTCTGCTGCAGGAAGAGCTACCTTCCCAAAATGAGAGTCCCAGATTACGAAGCCGTACCAGCTAAATAGAGTACTACTAATTAATATTTGCAAATACTAAGGTGGTAAGAACTGACACAGACATCTAGGGAGGGATTTAGAAATGGTGCAGTAGAGACCATTTGTAGCAACAACTTTTCCAGAGACTGACATCTTTACAAAGACAACTTCTTTATGGGTTTTCAGAAGTAAGAGCAGCTATTCAATGCTTTGCAATCTGTATAGACAAGGTTGTGCACGCTCTTTTCAGGTCCCCAAAAGAGCAAACACCAGTTCCCAAGCACAGGCTTTCCATCCAAACAGACCCTTATGTCCTTCAGCAAAGCAGCACAGGACTTAAAGATAAAAAAAAAAAAAAAAGAAAAACAACTTCCTTGTGTGTTCACCTGTTTCTTTCATCAACGTGGCAGAGCATCTGATTGTTTGATCTGGAACATTCGGGGTGTTCCACCTTTTTGTTTCAACAACCGAAGTGGTTTTATAACAAGTTAGTGCCTTCCAGCCGCCACAGAGACAGGCTTGTGTATGCTATTTTAGTCACTCGTTGACTCCTTTCTGTCCCAGGGCGTTTTAACAAGAGCATGTTAGATCATTAGTAACATCACTTTTCCTATGGAAAAGAGATCCCACTTTATCTTTTAAAAAGGGAGGGGAAGAGGTGGTAGTGACTCAATTCCAGTACAGCTGTTCACTTTGGCTGTCCCAGGTCTCAGGAGATGTGAATATGTTCCTCTGAAAGATTGAATACGGGGTAATGCTTCCAGCAAGCAGTTTTTCATCACCAGGTTAAAATGCCCTGCTCCAAGTTTTCAAAACGGTTATTTCCACATTGTTATCCACCCAGCCCGAAGGAGCTGTGTGGTCTTTGTAGTAGGAGTCAGTGCCTCCAGTAGAAGATCTACGTGCTTGCCACCAGGTGTTTCAGAAAAACAGAAATCCACATCTTCATATCCTGAATGCTCCAGATGGGAACTCCTAAGAGCTATTATTAGATCATAGAATCATTTAGGTTGGAAAAGACCTTTTAAGATCATCAAGTCCAACCGTTAACCCAGCACTGCCATCCCACCACTAAACCATGTCCCTAAGCAAAGATCCTCCACTCGTGGGTCTATCTTGGCGCTGGGAGTAGACAAGAAGCCAGTATAGATCCCTCCACCGAATACAGATGATCAAAACCGTAGCAGACTGATGTTCCATTAGCCTTGCACAATTTCACGTGATGTTCAGCTTTTCTGTTCAGTCTCAGTGCCCACTCTGAAGTTCGGTGAGAGCGTGTGTCAGGCTGCCAGTAGCTAAGCCCAAGAGGCTGCTCCAGCACAACTTACAGGGCAAACTGCAGCCAACAGAGCAGTCACACAAGTGCCTGGTGGGGCATTTTCCAGCCAAGGTTCTGCAGAGAATCTCTGAAATGAAAGATGACTCTAGCAAAAAGAGTTGTTGAGGCCAACAGAAAAGATATCCTGTTGGGAGTCTGTTACAGACCACCCGACCCAGGGTGAGGATGTTGACGAAGTATTCTACAAGTGGCTGGCAGGAGTCTCTCAGTCATGAGCTCTTGTTCTTGCGGGGGACTTCAACTTCCCAGACATCTGCTGGAAATACAATACAGCAGAAAGGAAACAGTCCAGAAGGTTCCTGCAGTGTGTGGAAGATAACTTCCTGACACAGCTGGTGAGTGAGCCTACCAGGGGAGGTGCTCTGCTTGACCTCCTATTCACTAACAGAGAAGGACTGGTGGGAGAGGTGGTGGTCGGAGGTCGTCTAGACCTTAGTGATCATGAAATGGTAGAGTTTTCGATCTTTGGTGAGGTAAGGAAGGGGGTCAGCAACACCGCCACCATGGATTTCCAGAGGGCAGACTTTGACCTGCTCAGAACGCTGATTGGGAGTGTCCCTTGGGAGACAGTCCTGAAGGGCAAAGGGGTCCAAGAAGGCTGGGTATTTTTCAAGGAAGAAGTCTTAAAGGCACAGGAGCAGGCTGTCCCCATGTGCTGTAAGGCAAATCGGCGGGGAAGACGACCGGCCTGGCTGGACAGAGGTCTACTACTACAACTAAGGAAAAAAAGGAGAGCTTACCAGCTCTGGAAGAAGGGGCAGGCAACCCAAGAAGAGTACAAGGATCTTGTCAGGTTATGCAGAGAGGAAATTAGAAAGGCAAAAGCCCAGCTGGAATTTAACCTGGCCACTGCTGTAAGGGATAATAAGAAAAGTTTTTATAAATATGTTAACAGCAAAAAGAGAGCCAG